TGAAGCCTTGCAGCCATGGTCGTGTTCACACGGAGAGCAGTAAGTCACAGGTGGCAGAAAGAATACTCATGCAACGCTTGGGGCATGTTAATAAGAATACATACAGGTGAGTTTCCGTAGCACTCAGAGAGGTTAAAGTCGAGATAGAGAGACCTCCAAAGGTGATTTATTTTCTTTTTATTTTGAGTCGAGATAAAGTCGAAATATAGCCGAAATAAAGTTAAAGAAAAAATAAAGTCGAAATAAAGTCGAAATAAAGTCGAAATAGAGTTAAAGAAGAAATAAAGTCGAAATATAGCCGAAATAAAGTTAAAGAAAAGTTAAAGAAGCTTCGTGAAAAAGGCCCCAGGTTCGCGGATCACGCGATCTAATTTTTCTGACTTTGAGCAGAGGAGGTCGCGAGGAAATTCCATAAGACCGGAATTCCCTGGTCTATTCCAGGGCTGGGTAACGTCTTCAGAGAAATATTTCAAGGAATTCCATTGTCTTCCTCTGAAATCCACGTGATAAACCACCGGGTGCTGTGCCAAAAAGGAAATGGTACTCACTTGAATGGAATTTGGGAAGTGACTCCCCATTACGACCACTTTGTCGCCATCTCACGCCGGTTTTCGGAACCCTCTCAGCCGGGTTTTCTTCACATACGCCCAGTCAAAAATTGGTCCGCCGAAAATGAGTCAACTGCCCCAGCCATGGCCAAAGAAATGAAAATAATTGACAGGTATATGGCATAGGGCAGAAGAGATCGTTCCTCGGGACTCCTCGAGACTCCTCGGGACTCCTCGGGACTCCTCGGGACTCCTCGGGACTCCTCGTTGTAGATTCACTCCTTCATTAGGGTACTTCAGCGTAAAGACTTTGTGATTCCTGCCAAGGCATCAAATCACGATATACTGGGTAGTTAAGCACGGTTAAGTACTCGAAATAAAAGAAAGCTTAAAAACTTGCTAAGAGATGACCTTCTCAGAGAAATGCAACATCCTGATCGGCTCCTATTTAATTCTAGCGACTATTTCCACCTCATTCGCATTTCGTCTCAGGGGAAGGTCGAAGCGGAGCTGCATCTGTTGACGAAGGAGGAAGCGGAGCAGAACCCAGCTGGTCTGGGGAGGAGCGAGCCCGATCCCCTCGAGAAACCCAAGTCAGTCCCCTTTTTAATAATAATAATAAATTTTAAAAAAAGGTATTGAAAGTAATAAATTAAATACTTGTTTTTTTTTTTTTTTAGTCGCCCGGACTCCTCGTTCCTCTGGTTCGTGAACCCGATGAAAAGTCTTCGCTTCATCTTGTGGCACAACTACAAGTGGCTGCTGATCAAAGTGCTGGCTATCGCGGGGCTGGCCCTCCTCTTTCTCCTCTTCTTCTACTCGCTTCCTGGGTACACGGCGAAGAAGATCCTGGGGGCGTGAGGGAGGCGTCACTGCTTTTTTTTTCCCCGTGCGTGATGCGTTTGGTATTTCGGAATGAAGTGGGTTTGATGACCGATGGGGTGTGATTTCATGCGGTTCGGGGAAATTTCACACATTGAAAAAGGTTCAAATTGAATTTCACTGGTTCTGGAATTTTTTTTGCTAAAATTACTATAAAAAATTTGGAGGACATTGAACGATGCTGAACTTACCCAAGGAATATGGGAATCGCATGCAAGCACTCAATTTGGGGGTCTCCTAATTTCATATCTACAAGAGAGCATAGGAGCATTATTTTCCGGCTGTGAACGCCACAGTTGGAGGAAAACTTTCGCGTCACGAAAAGGAGCGAATGAACGCTTGCAACGAACAACTTTTTCTGGCAAGGCAGCTCAATTATTTCCCAATACTTAAACGTGCTAATTGCAATCGCGGTCCCGACGTAATGGAGGCTGTATCTTTATGGGGATTTTTAAGTTCCATATTTAAATTTTGGCATTATAGGAGACCACGCCCGAAAAAAAAAACAACTCACCAAATACGAACCGCAGGCTCCCTCAGGCCCTACTCCTCCCTCCCTCCCTCCCCCAAGAGGCGATAACGAGAGGCCAAAGAGACAGCTCGGTGATTTTGAATGGGGCAAGTGTCTCCCCGGCGTGGCACTCGGAGCGGCACGTGCCATCCCGCGCGAAGCAGACACCTCCATGAAGGAAGATGGCATGCCTCTCCTGTCTCTTCCATTTTATCAGGGATTTTCCTCGTTTCGTCGTTTTGCTCCTTTGACCGGCTTCAGCCACTCCCTGGGATATGGTCACGGTCATTTCGTTTGGCTTAGAGATGCCAAGAATTTCTTGTACTACACCAAATTCATTCTCGAAAAGCGTAAAATACACATTTCAGCTTCGACGATGAACAGGAAATCAACTGGAAAAAAAACCAACGCGAGTGAACATTTCTTGAAGCAACCCAACTGAAAACTAAGCATTTTGATAAGAATAAAATGTAAACCTCGGAATTGCATATTATTTGCAAATTTTCCCAGGGTGGCACTGCCAAATTTTTCTGTCAAAATCGGAATTTGCACTCGCCGTGGCGAAGTCCATCGAAGCAAATCAGGAATTCGCATTAAAGTCATCGATCGTTAAACTGTGACGCAGACAGATGGACTTGAGCCGGGATTGCTAATGAGGCATTAGGCACGGCCTTAACTAATTATATACAGATGGATCCGTCATCCGCGAGAGCTGGAAGGGGAGTGGATGCTTCAGTGGAGGACTGGTACCCCGACCCAAGCGGAAAGTCTGCGCATGCGCAGTGAGATCGTGTTAGATACTGCGGACAGACGGAATGAAAAAAAAATGTGACGGACCAATCGCGATTCCTGTCATTTCTCCATCGTACCGGTGAGAATAGGTGATTAAAATGTCTCACCCTTCGAGACTCAATCTCGGAATCTTTATGTTTTCGGAAATTCCTCCTCGTGCTGATTTTCCTGAATTGCCCTCGTTTCTTCTAGACGCAACTGAACAAAGTATCTGAATTCTCGTTTTTTTTTCTCAGCCTGATGTTGAATATCGCAATGTCGTCAGACAGCACTGTCTCAGGTTCTTCGTGGGCTATGTATGGTGATTCGAGATATCAAAGAACAGAATATCCTGATCCACCATCAACGTTGCAAAGTCGACACGCAATTTGCCACGTTCATGCATCGTGAATTCTGTTTTGCACTGCTCCCGAAACCGTTTTTGCACAGATGGCAATCCGAAACCAGATCCGATTCGAATTGGGAGAGAGCGTTTTCCTCATCCACGAAATGTGCAGATCCACCTGCCATCATCAGTCGCTGATCTCACGATCGCTCAAGGTCGAATTCACCGCGTGACTTCGACCTGCGCCGCAAAGCGCCGATTCCTGGTCTTCTGAGATAGAAATTTGCTGACATGCATCGTTTCGGTTTCACAGTCGTGATGAACTCCAGGATGGGACGCTCCGTGGTTCTTCTCCTCCTCCTCTCCGCTCTCACTCAGGTCCGCCTCGACTTCCCGTGTCGTTTGGAGGCCTGTGCTGGGTGAGCTGAAAGTCCAGCCTCATGGGGGGCCGGCCGCACTCTTCAACGAGAGAAATGCGATGCGGATGGGCAGCAATCGCATGTGATACCCTCCAGGGCGTGGTCATTTCTTCATTTCTTCCCGCTTCCAGGGCATGCCATTTCAACGCTTCTTGGAAATTCTCGTTGTTCCCTATGAGACCGGACTTTTGACTTAACCAGTATAGTCCTTTTCTTGCTTGTATTAGTCCTCTTTAAAACCTTTTGGTTGGGAGGAAAAATATTCATGTCTTCTCATTGGTAATTATCGCTAAGATGTGTTATGTTTATAAATACTTGAATATTGGATACTAAATTATGCAAAATCCGAGTTACTGTACCACCCCATGTCAAATATTTTCAAAAGTTCCAAACACCTCAATATCTGTTAATGGACTGTTGATGTCGTGAGGCATATAAACATTTCGGACAGCTTGTAACGAGAACTTACAAGCTGTGGTCTGATGCACATCGCGATTCTTAATCTTCCGAAAATCAGCATAATATGAGTCCAATGAGGAATTTCGTAATTTGAGCGTTCGTGAGATGAGGACGTTCAGGACCGGAACTTTCAAGATGGAATTGGAATTTTCCTTGCCAGGGCGAAGGGGAGAGGAGCGGAGAAGATGCTGGAGACTGGCTCCCTTCAATGGGCAGTCCAGGTGCGATTCGTTCCACAGCTATGGGAATTTTATTTCAATTTTTATTTCTATTTTATTCTATTTTATTTCTATATTCCCCATATTCCCATATGGGGAAAGATGAAGAATTTTTTTTTTTCGAACGCGTTTGAAATAATATCGGGATGGTTAGGGTTAGCTGTTCTGAATGTTGTCTCTTCGAATTTATTACCAATCTTAACATGACTTTATGGGAAAACGTATGTATTTGTCGCATGTATTCACTTACTCGGGAGATTTCATGGAGATCATGAAATGTTATGAATGGAAAGTTGATGGAGTGAACCAGATGGGAGACAACAATGGTAGCGAATGTCAATATATTGGACGAGAATAAATATGGAAAAGCAAAAGATTTGATTAATATCCTCGAGGTCATCAGGTAGGGGAGAAGGATTATATGTATGATAAAGCGTGAATATTAATACATACCGCTTTATACAGCAACACCAAAGGAGACGAGTGATACTGACAATCGGCACACCTGGCACACTGACACCTAGTACGACTACGTGATGAGATCTTGAAAGGTTCGTTGCAGGGAAAACTCTGGAAGTTCAGGAAAAGGAGGATCAGAGAGAGAAATGTGGATGCCTTTTAATGTCAGCTGGTCTGACGCTTGCGTCGATTCGGCTGTGCGAGCAGGAGTGCAGCTTCATCAGCTGGTGCGAGGTCTGCGAAGTCAACAGGCATTTACGAGGGGGAGGGGGAGTGGATGCTTCAGTGGAGGACTGGTACCCCGACCCAAGCGGAAAGGCTGCGCATGCGCAGTGAGATCGTGTTAGATACTGCGGACANGGGGGGGGGGGGGGGGGGGGGGGGGGGGGGGGGGGGCTGTTCCCATTCCGTTTCTCTGGGTTCGATCTCCCGACCCCGTTGCCGTGAATTCACGGTCGAGTTCTCCTGACGTCACCTTCAGCTTCCGTTTTTTCTGTTAGGCGATCTGAACGATCACGTAATGCAGCAATTTTCAAGGTGATTATTAATATTTTAGCTGTGATTCAACACATTTGCGTGGCCAAAATCACCATGCTTTTAGTGAGAAGGACCAATGCCAGCGGCGGTGTATCAGGCGTTCTCGGTCTTGATGGAGTTTCACCCCGAGAATATTTTCCTCATTCGTCCCAATCCGAGATTACCCCGGGAAGGATCACATGAGATCATACGAGATAATCATATGAGATTATCTTCCTTTCAGAGAATCGGCAGGCGCCATGGTGCGGGGCGGACCTGCCGCTGTACGCCGGGCAGTCCACGCCGCTCATCAGCGCCACTTACAGTTCCCCGAACTCTTGCTCCTGGAAGTTCTCGGTGAGGTTTCCCTGTCTCTAGGCTCGGAATTCCTCAGAATTTCAATGAATTTCCTATTATTTTAATGAATGGCAGTGTCCAGTGGACATGACGCTGCAATGCTCCCAGATCCAACTCCCGTGGAACCTGTTCTGCTACTGGATCGGCTTCACCTATAACGGGAGGACGTGAGCGGGAAAAAAAAACTCAAAATGGGGGAATTTAATGGCGGGGAAAAAAAAAACATAATTGCTGAAAAAAAATTTTTCTCCAGAATCTGTGCGACAAGCACTGCCTTTCAAAGCCCGGTGAACGTGGGAAAAACTCTTTCGGCCCGATATTACACATCTGGTTCCGGTACATCGGGGTTCAAATGCACTGTCACCTGTGGTAAGTACTGGTAACTTGTAATTGCCAGTTCTTGAAATGAGCGCCGATTTCAAAAACACAATCTCCCTATATCGTAACTGGAATTGGCGGCAATTACATATTATATACTGAAGATCTTACCATGGTCTTCGAAACGAGGAGGCTAAAACTCTAGAACTCAAAATCTATCAATATTTTATTACAAGAAAAGCAATTACGAATTTAAAAAAAAGGGAAATGAGAGGTCTCATTCAATTTTGTTTACACAGTGAGCAGAATTTGTATAAGTTAGTGTACTGTAGAATATCAACTGAAATAACGACGATTCGTTCTGTTTTTTTTTTCCAGGTAAAAAGGCTTCTTGCAGTAAGTTCAGCGAAATATTTTCTATATAGCATGCGTTGTGACGCTTCCTGAATTGCTCCTCCTGCGTTTTGCCCCCCCCCACACTAATTTACCCCCCACCCCTCTACCCCCCCACCCCCACGTTCTTCGAACGTCTCCAGGCTGCGGGGGCTCCCAGTCCGCGGGGAAGAGGTCCCAGGCGAACTCGACCGACTTGGATCGCATCGTGGGGGGGAGCGTGGTGCCCAATCAGGGGAAGTATCCATGGATGGCGTGGTTCAACCAGGATCAGAGCGCGTCCACTTTGATGTGCGGTGGGTCGCTCATCAACGATCGATACGTTCTGACGGCGGGCCATTGCGTATCTAAGGAGTGAGTTTTGTCTGAGGTGAAATTGCGTGCTATGTGAGAGAAAGATGCGAGAGAAGATGAGGGGATGCGATCCGAGAAAATATTTTATTTAAAATATTTTAAAACATTATTTATTTCCTTCATTGTGCTCAGCCGTTTGGGGACATACTACGTGGTCCTGGGCGATTTGGATCGATCGTCGTCGTCCGAGAGCGTGTCGTTAAGGATTCCAGCTTCGGCGATCATTCCTAACCAATACGTGGAGAAATACTCCGGGCAAGTTTTGACTGAGATCGACAACGACATCGCCCTTCTGAGGCTGCAGACACCAGTGGACTTCCAGGCTTACCCGCACATCCGGCCGATCTGCATCGCCTGGTTTATGGTGCCCAGCCCGGGGGAGACGGTGACCGTCGCTGGGTGGGGGGCGACGTCCTGGTGGGGTGAGGTCTTGGGGGGTCGGAGGGAGAAGGGGAGGGTTTGTTTTGTCTTCGTTAAATGTTATTCTCCTGAATATCCCGCGAACCACAGGTGCACTGTTCGGGAGCAGCTCGCGATATTTGATGGAGGCGACTCTCACCGTCGCGAGCAATACCCTGTGCCAAAAGGGTTATGGATCCCTTTTCACCAAAAACTTCATCTGCGCACAGAGTGCTGGAGATGATATCTGCAAAGTAAGCCATACGATCGGCATCGAGAGGATGAGCATTTGAGGAATGTGTCGCAATGGAATTCTCCAGGGGGATTCCGGAGGACCGTTGATGTACCGAAATCCGTTTGGATCGTTTTACGTGAACGTCGGCATCAACTCCATGGCCAAGACCTGCGACATCCAGTACGGCGCCGCCTTCACGACGACGGCATGTGAGTGACTGACCGAGGAATTCTGAATGGGGATGCCCAAAGCGTTCAGCTCGCGCCTTTGCATCCGACTTGCAGATTACGTGAACGACTTCATCGGGGAGAACACGAACGACGCCCAGTGGTGCTCTCCGTATGGCTGATGGTCGTGGATGCTTCGACCAACTCTTTGGCTTTTTCGTCTCTCTTCACTTATTTCCTCGCGTGTTTTTTTTTATTATCAAATTTGAAGTGACGACCGTGTTCTGTTTTCCTCGGTGATGGTCTCATCACGTCGTTTGCGCACGAAGTGTTTCAGTGAGGTCACGAGTAGAACTATTTCACATTTTCAGCATTGTTATACTGTTTGCAGAATTTCGAGCGAAAGTTTACGTCCTCTTCGCTGTTTTATGGCACTTTCACGATTGCAATTCCTGAGATAAATCCGTTTTTCCGAGCGTTTATCTTCCACTCACCGTGCTCATGCATAAAACGGCAAATGAAGAGGTGACGGAATAAAATAATTTACCCGTTGTGTGGCAGATTATATCCTCGTGAATATATATTTCACCTGAAATTTATTTTGCAACTCGGTACACGAATATCGCACGTCCTGCGAACAAATAAGCGGTACCCTTCAAGATATTATTGCGAGAAGCCACCCATTTCCCGACCCGAAAAGCTTAATCTCTGTTCCACTTTCCTGTATTTTTTTTTTCTCCCTTTAGTAGCCGTTGCGAGTGGCGTGCGGGAGAAGAGCCGTATTTTAATGAAGTTGTACCAACTTGCGGCAGAGTTTCCTCTATGAACGCATCTCGACAAACGTCTCACACGTCGGTCGTTTTACAAATTCTGAGAGGGGAAAGTGGCGTGATGAGTTGAGACTCAAAAGTCAGAAATAACGCCGGACAGACGGCATTTCATCTCGCGGACCCGCCATTCAGAAAGTGGAGATTTTGAATTTGGGATTTTCGAATTTTCGAATTTCAAATTTTCGAATTTTTGATTTTCGAGTTTTAGATTTTCGAATTTTCGATTTTCGAATTTTCGATTTTCGTGGTGAAAGTCCTTCCAAAGGCGAAGTCGGCGCCCGGAGCCGCACGGAACATTTTCATCATTCGCGAAAGGTGGCTTTCGTCCCAAGGTCACTCACATGAGAACAATCTAGAAAGATTCGTGAACAAACAACATTCTATTTCACGAAACTTCTTAGGAGTTTCAATAAAAATGTTATGTTGCCATTATGCCAATTCCATTCCAAATAAATTGGTTTTTTAGATCAGCAAGGCAGAACGCGATGCTGCACCGATGAAGCTTTAAGCGATTATTTGCAACTAATTCACTTAATCTTCAATCAATCTTCACATTTCATGTCCGCCTCAGGATTTCATTTCCGACGGAGAAAAAATGATCGGCGGGATTTCCACTCGACGATATTCCAGGGTGGCGCCTTGATGGCGTCGGGAAATTTGGTCCAAAAAATGGATTTCCTCAATTTAATTCATTTCGGTCGGGAAAAAAATATAAAATTTATTGTGGATATGGAACATAATAGCACTGGCAATTTCGGTTCCTAAGGACTTAGGACGTTGTTTATTTCATGCAAACACCGCTACATAGCACTATGAAAACGCTCATGGTAAATTAGTAATTAATTAGAGGGTGATGGTGGTCTGTGAGAAACATGATTTCAAACTCGGTGAAAAGTGGAGAAGGAAATGAATTTTCAGTAGAAAAAATTCCAATGAAAAATGCCATTAACCCGGCACACCAGTCCATAAAAAACCTCGGGATATTTTTACCCTCAATTCCGACTATTGACGGTATATCAGGAAAACATCCAATCTCGGTAAATTTTTTGCCTGCACTCGTGGGTGCAGATGATATTCAGTGCTGAATTCTGTGCGGGGTCGAATCTCCGTGCCCAGCCGACGAAGTGCCCGACCTCGCGGTGCGAGGGAACGGCCGGTACTTCCGGGCCTTGGAATTCCGGACTTCGTGCAGTAGATAAGGGGGTGGGGCGGGGCGGGGCGGGGGAAAAATATTCGCGTTGATTTTTAAATGACTCCCAATAATTACCTTTAAACTTTGAAGGCAGTTTAAAATTGGAGGCAATGTCCATGCAGATATCCACGCTATTCATTTTTGTCTTTCCCGATAAATCAGGATTGACAGATGAGATACGTCAGGTGCAACGAGAAGAAAGTACTGCAATATGCATACCGCGCTCCGAATCCATCACAGCACCATCAATAATTTTCCGTCAATATTTAGAAACTCTGAGGAAGATGATGAGGACCAATGAAGATGATGATGAAGATGATGACCAATTTAATTTAAAAAATGCAGGGAGAGATGTTGATGTGAGCCTCTCGAGAGACCCACCCAAATCCTGACCCATCCGACTTTCATGGGCTAGACTGAGATTTTCCCGAGGGGAAATGGGCAGAAATCAATGATGCTTCAGGCGTCGACATTTCCGAAATTTGCGGGCATTTTCCGCACAAACACCCTAGGAAGCATTAGAGCCCAGTCAAATGAAGGTGGAGGCAGCAGTCCTACTAGAAACGGTTCGCTTGGCATGAACATTCCATGAAAGAACCCATACGGATATCTCTAACAAATTATAAATGCATCCCTGCTATCCAGAAACTTGTCTCCATCGAGTAATCAGAGGACATTTCGTGTATTAGGTAATGAAGGTAAAGCAAAAAAATATATATCCTTGGGAGTAGCGTTTTTGTCTCGATTTCCAGCACATTTCAATACTTTTCTTCGAAATCCCCTACTCAAGGCGCATGAGCCTTGGTCAGTGAGTGCTCGAAATGATAGTCGGGAAATTGGTTTGAAAATTCGAATTTTTCGTATTAGGGGCTCGTGGTCTATGACTTTTGAAGTCAGCTTCAATCTTTCCGCCTCGTTTGAAATTCGATTGCCTCGTCTTTCGATTTCGCTTTTTTGGTGTTCATGTGGCCAACTGTTTCCGATTTGTGTTTCGATTCGACCCGTCAAACGGCTATCAAGCAGCAAATTTAGCGAAGGACATATGGCTAACTATTCGTCGAAGGTGACGAGAGCGACCACACTCGGTACTTTTCTCGGGACCCACAAAAACATTTATTCACAGATCTTGAATCCCAGAGAATCGATTTTCTCCTTAATCTGAAGCATGCCATAAACACATCTGCACACAAATTTTAATCATTTGCAAAGGAGGAAGGCACTGAGCGAAATATGCAGAAGTTTAGTTTCAGAAAAAGGAAATGTGAGAACGTGGCTATATGAAGGGAGGGGGGAGAGATACGCTGCAAAATTTCCTTTGCGAGCATCACAAATTCCATTTATCGTTATTCAGAATAACAGGCAGCTCATGAACATCGTTGCCCATGGAGCCTTAGGCCCGCCTGCACAAGGATTGAATACACGAGTCAAGAAATGATTCATTCCCATAGTATCCCACAGGAAGAGCGGCGGCTCTCGTTGCCACTGAAAAGGAGCAAGTGAGACCGGCGAAAAGGAGCGAGACCGGCGAAAAGGAGCAAGTGAGACAGGCGAAAAGGGGAAAGAGACAGGCGAAAAGGGGAAAGAGACAGGCGAAAAGGGGAAAGAGACAGGCGAAAAGGGGAAAGAGACAGGCGAAAAGGGGAAAGAGACAGGCGAAAAGGGGAAAGGCGTGAGTGCGAACCGACCTCGGGGCAGGCGAAGGAGCATGGGAGAGTGAAGCGGATGGGGAGTCCCTTAAAAAAAAGTAGATTTTTCAGGCGGATCATCGAACATCGAGGGGGAACGGTAGGAGGAAACCATGCACAACTCCGCTAAAAGATGGAACATATTAGCCTCCAAAAACCGGAGCATGCCTTTGCCGATAGAAAATTTCTACGAGGAATGAGAGCGAAAAAACGATTCGAAAAGAGAAAAATTCAGTCCTGGCGTCGCGGCGTCTCGGGAACAACGGTTGCATACGTGCATATACTTTTTTTCCATTTAGCGCTGTGTCCCGAGGAGAATGGTGCAAATTTGACGTTTCAGCGACCAAGGGTTGGGGAGACGGAGACTTTCAAATAGAAGCATGCACATTTTGACATTTGAGCACGGATCATGCCCCGGGGGGGGGGGGTGACCCGAGAGAGTCAGCAATCGGCTCCAAGGCCCTTTTTTCAGGTCCCTTACAACAATTATAGAGCGGAATTTCGATTATTGGGGGTAGATTTTTATCTTCCCGTAGTACCTTAAGTTTCGCTCTTCCATCATATCTAGAACATGGTTTGAATTAGCATCATTCCCTGCGTCATTCAGTCACTCAATCACGACCGTCTATATACTGTACACTACATTAGACTAGTGCAAAAGCCTGTGCTCGCACGGGCTCAAATAAGTCGAATGAGAACGTTTCGTGCGTTACTTTCTGCTCCTTCTTCGTCAGTTTCATTGCTCCTGGGGCTTGAGAAAGCCAAAATAAAAAAATGGATGTCAAAATGGATGAACTTTTTGAACTCTTCACCCGATAGTCATCGCCGCTAGGTTTCGAATGACACCCATAGTTTTAAACTGAGGGACGCAAAACCAAATTAGGAACTTTCAGTAATGAGATTGAGGGCCAGTCATCCGCGTTTCCATCAGGGGACAAAACCGGTTTTGAACCGGTCCGTTCGGCAATCAGGTTTCGGGTCGAGAGCCGAGGCCATGACTTGTGAGCGCACAGCCGGGGAACCGTTCGGAATGATGCTTTTCTTATTCCCCGAAATTTGGCATTATTGCATGAAAATGGGACGATTTTTGGACTTTTGAACCAAGAAGTATCGCTTCCGGTCATGAGCTTTTCGATTGACATCTCACTCATGAAAATCCGTTCATCCGTCAGGGAGGAGTTTCCTCACCCCGACACAGACAGATTATCCTCTTATGCATCATGTATATGCTTATGGATGAAAGAAGGCAGGGCATCGATTTCACACAACCCACCCCTAAGAAAGAGGTTTTTCAGCGTATAGGGAAATTATCATGAGTTTCAGACTTCCCGATGTAACCGTCTGGCACGGTTTCCCATGCCAAAGCCACGCTTCGCCACCCTGTCGACGTGCACAGAATGCCCTTCATTCTGTTCCACCCGAAAATGCGTTTCCGCGCATGCGCAACACGATTCGCGACTCGGAGCAGCAAAGCTCGATCGACGATCGTGATCCGGGTCCGGTGCGGGCCCGCGATTCAAATCGGGCAGGTCGAGTTTCAACTCGGAAAAAGTGGACCCGTGCAGGCCTCCGACGCGCAGAAAGGCAGGAGAACCCGTTCAGCAGCGTACTTTTTTTCGACTGTTCACCCGATAAGTATCGCCTCCAGTTCCTGAAGCTTTCGACAGACACCACTATTCTTAAAATCTGTTCGTCCGTCTAGGAGGAATTTCCCGGAATGACCGACCGACCGACTGATTAGCCTCTTATGGAAGAAACGTAAATGTTTGCGCGAGGCTCTCAACATTTTTGATGTCGCGACCCAGCAGGTCCTCTTTCCGTACTCATGCAAATGTAGAGTCATCCAGAAATAATTTAGTCGTGTGACGCGAAAAACATTTATTGAATCTTTTAAGTTCGGAAATGAGATTTTGAATATTTTTTGCTCTTGGAGAAGGTGATTCTTTCATATCTATAATTAATTTTCCTGCTTCATCTTTGAGTTTCCTCTGAAAGAGCTCCACTTTTTCCATTTCGGTTGATTTCCATTTAAATGCCGCTTTAAATTTGAAAGCTTCATGGATATATTGGGTTCTTTATATCCATATAGATATGAATAAAGAGAAGGAAATCGATCAGTTCAGGTAGCAGAGAACCAAAATCGAGAATACAAGCTTTGGATTCTGCCCACAAAGAAAGCGTGACCCCTAACCACAGGTTAGAGAGAGAATGTTCACTCTGACGAGGAATTCCCTGGAGATGAAGGTTAGCAGCAATATTTACCATAAAAAAGATAATTTATAGCTGTTTGCTCTTCTTGGATTAGGTTGTGAGTAAGCCTGTGCTGCCGTCTAATCTGGATGAAAGATTAGCTCCTTCCTGGAAAGATTAGCTCGGGTAATTCTGCTCTGTTGGTTCCGTTTGGGGATTATGACTCGGTCTTCTCTGGCCTCTCACCAGTTTCCTCGATTTCCTTTTAATTCGTTTCACACTTTGGTATAAAATGAATTCATACGTTGAGAACTAGTGTCCGAGACGGTATGACCCCTGACCGTCAAAATTGGACCTTAAGGTTCCTTGGGGCGGGGTATCAGGACGATAGAGTTCGGTGACCGTGTGACCGATGGGTAATAGGGCTGCCTGATGTCGCATTTTTCATCCGAGGAATTTGATTATTTGTTTTCAAGGGGTCACAAGCCCCCTAAGTTCGCTGGTGTTGCTATTCGATAGTTTTCTCAGTTAAATTCTCTTAAATTTAAAATCTCTTAAATTTAAAACCTCCTTTGAGATGGAAAGCTTGAACAAGAGTACAAAACGCGACGGAGTCTGACTTTTCTCTCTGATATAACGTTTTCGGGATAAAACACTCAGCGCTAAAAACTCTCATCTCTAGATGTGGAACGTCGAAGAACATGGGGAGGGCCAAATGCATATCCCAGAAGAAATCGCGGTAGGGAGGGGTGTGGGTATGCGGGACCCTCAGGGCAATCACGGGGCAACCACAGGGAGTGCGATAGTGCCAAGAATCAATGGAAATAAATGTTGTTGAAATGAAATTCAAATGACCCGAAACATCAGTTTATTGAAAGTTGAGGAATTTTGAGCATGAAATTATACCCGTGTTTGCGGTGTATCAGCAGAATACCCAATCCTGGTGATCTTTCGGCCTGCACTCAGGGGTGCAGTTGAACTTTAGCACTAAGCTTTCCGCAGGGTCGAATCTTCGGGCCCAGCCGACGAAGTACCCGCCCTCGCGCTGCTTCGGGAACGGCCGGTACTCCGGCCCTTGGAATTCCGGCTTCGTGCAGTGGTAGCTGTCGTGCACCAACTAAGGGAGGAAACATGTATCCAGTGATGGTGGAATATCATTTTAAATAATCCACTCAATCAGTCAGTATGAAAATAAAATACAATGCCGAATTACAGCTTTCAATATTTCATCCAACGGCAAGAATGAAAACGAAATGCACGAGAAAAACGCGATGACTGAAATATGAAGAAACTGGCGGTGAACTAACGTAAATGGAAATTCGGGAAACGTTACTGGATATTACGATTTCTTTCTGACGAGGAAACTTAAGCTCTGATGACAGTCCGCTGTGGACATCAGAATTCCTGATGTCCATAACTGGTTTATTTTCTGCTCGGGCAAGGAAACTTGCTAGTATATAATATATACTATATATATATGACGTATATAATGATTATTTTCTGGCTATTGTGTGCGTTTTGCTACTTAACGTACGCAAAGTAAGGTTTGTAACACGTCACCATAACATATTTACTTTAATCGGCTGTTCGCAACTTTTTGATATCTTATGACCATCGAGTATCATTTAAGCGATGGTGAAAGAGATGGAGAGAAACGAAATTATTAATGAACTGACCAGCAGTTTGGGATCTTGAGGAAGGAATATCGTCGCGAATCACCGCGTGAATTGGGTAGGCTGAGGAATGCTAAGCATAGGATGGTAAAAAAAAATGTTCTGCAGTTTTCTATGGGAGAAACGCAGTTTCATGAATGTATTTAAAAAATTACATTTAATACGCGATCGATATTTGACAGATACAAGGTGTTGAAATGCCTTCCAGCTTTTTTTTCACCACCCCTGCCTAAATCGTGCAATGCCCATTTAGAGGTGAATTCAAGTGGCTGGGAGGTGGATCATTTAAACTCAAGTGAGGTGTTTACCTGTGTTCGACCGTCTCAGAATTCAATGAACTTTTCAAATTTAACTTTTCAAGGGACTGTTGGATCCAGTTGATACTTGACAGAGAGGTTCATGAGTCTAAGGTTTTCTTCACTTCTGTGAGATGGCGCTATATCCCGATAGAGGACGCTGTTGTTGACCGGGTGACCGAGGGCGATTTAGAAAACGCTCCACCGTTTTCAAAGGTGAGAAATACGATTCGTGTATTCAAGTAAAAAATATAACATTCATAACCTCTTGATATTGGACATATAGGAGGTGTTGAGAAGATTGTCTATTTTTTTTAAACAATTCTCTGAGCCATGTATGTAAACTGTGTAACAGTTTACAGGTGTAGCATTAATAATTTTTTAATCACCCTGGGTCACCAGGTCAACAACAGCGTCCTCTACCGGGATACAGCGCCATCTTGCAGAAGTAAAAAAAACCTTAGACTCATGGCCATCACTGTATCAGCTGGATCGACCTGTTCCTTGAAAAGTTAAAGTTGAAAAGTTCATTGAATTCTGAGACGGTCGAGCACAGGTAATCACCTCACTTGAGTTGAAATGATCCACCTCCCAGCACCTTTAATTAATCTCTAAATGGGCATTGCGCGACTTAGGCAGGGGTGCTAAAATAAAAAGTTGGCAAGCATTTCAACACCTTGTAACTGTCAAATATCGATCGCGTATCCAATGCAGTTTTCTGCTACATTAATGAAACTGCGTTACTCCCATATAAAACGGTAGAGCGTTTTTTTTTGTAACCACCCTTTATATACACCAGGGTTGTTGACAGTGGATTCAGCCCATTTTTTGCCCATGGAAGTCTGAATTTTACATATAGCATGGAGAAAACCTAATTAGGTATATTCCTATATACCTAATGCGTCATATACACAGCACTCAAAGGTTGGCGGGTTAACGCTAATAATGCTCACGTGGTGTTGACGGTAAGGGATACACATAATGCTATGAGAACTCCTAATAGGTGGGCTGGAGAACAAACTTGCCAGTATTTGCAGGGTGTCTCAAAAAATGTATACACACTTTAATATTTCAAATATATGTTAAAGTAATTCAGAGAGGTACAATGTTCAGTGTGTGGAGAAGCAAGGGTTTGAATTGCATGGTTCACTACACACAGATGTTCAAATTGTTCACCGTTAGCATCCAGGCACTGTTGACAGCACTGAGTGACCGTCGACCGACCGTCGACTGTACCATCAGTGCATGGTCTCCTAGAACATTGCCAGTACGGTAATGCGCAATGTTCTGATAGACCTCACATATCAACAGGTGGGGAAAATGCTGCTGTTGCATTGCAAGCATTCACACGATCACATGGAATTGAGGAGTCCTGTGCTGCTATCCCAGCAGAAACCTGTCCAGAAATTTGATGCGCTGCTGCTCACTGCTGTCAACAGTGCCTGGATGCTAACGGTGAACAATTTGAACATCTGTGGTAGTGAACCATGCAATTCAAACCCTTGTTGCTCCACACGCCGAACATTGTACCTCTCTGAATTACTTAATTTTTTAATTATTAAAGTGTGTATGCATTTTTTGAGACACCCTGTATGTATGACGCATGTAAATATTATATTTCTGACCATTGTGTGTGTTGTAGCCGGCCAGAGGATTACCCGTAGAACCTCTTGATCAAACCCATATCCATGCTGCAAATCAGTCTTCAGGATCATCTCCCTGGTCAGGTTTGCCATCAGAGAACGATTCATGATCGTCTTTGCACCCCACATGCCTAGAGTAAAGAGAAAATTAAGTTTAAAAAAATATTCAGCACTGAGAAGCTCTACAAAGGGGAGAAATGTGAAAATCCTACCCCCGAGAATGTGCCATGGATGATGGGGATGATCCCGCATTGCGTGAATCATGGAATTGGAATCCAGCCATTCGTCGACTGCCTCGCGTTCACGGTTCGTCACCAACGAGTCTGTGTCTCTGAAAAAAACCGCTCCTTGGACATTATTGTCACCTCCATTAGCAATGCTTTTGAACGTTTCCCATCTGAACTTCGGCGACGTCGAATTGAGTTTCATTGAGTGTCAGGGGTTTTTGTCACTAATTGTTGGAAAAAATTAATCTTCAACCAATACTGAGGTTTATCATTATATTTTCTTATTTTAAAAATAGTCAGCATTTTTGTTTATTTAAAAACTTTAATTAGTAACAACGGCAAGATTGCCACCAATATTTTTGAGTGGTAACAGTGGTAGAAGTATGAATTCATTAAAAGTTGCCTTTCTAGCCATGAAGTACGTCTGTCACAATGAGTCACATGGGCTATTCCACGCCAACTAACCAGACGGATAGCGCTCAACCATCTCAGGAAAAAGAAGAAAAATCAAAGCTAACAAATTTTACGTGAAACTCCACAATCCACAAATGTTGAAAATGCTCCCTAGTAGCACATAACATTGAACCAACACGGATTCAATGTTGATTCAACATCCGGATGTTGAAATAACTGAATCAATGTTAACCTAATTTTATCGGAGCGGGTTTGGTTTCACTTCGGGCAACAAACTTGCCAGTAAGTATGCATGACGTATATAAATATTATTTTTCTGACCATTGTGTGTGTTGTAGCCGGCCATAGAATTACCCGTAGAACCTCTTCATTCTCTGCAGCAAAATAAATTATTGCAAAACGTGTCCCCGAAAAAGTACGTTCCCGTGGAATGTATCTTTAAATCGAAAATTTGATTGAAATTAGCATATCATTAGGTACGTTCACGCTCAAGATAATCTTTCCATTTGGATTAATAATGTCTTCCATTGAGGGAATTGACTTCCCACGACGCGTCCTTCCACCCATCGTTCCCAATATTAAAAACAAAGCACCGACCTCGATACAAATATGTCCACCAAGGGGTCCATCCCCGGGAGAAACCTCCATGTCATCCCTTGGTCTTGCACCCTTGTGATGTTCCCCAACTGGGGGAGTCTATCCACGAAGCAGAAGTCCACATGCGACTGGTTGCACTGGATCCCGCACATCCATTCCCTCTGGTCGGGGATATCAGGATCGTAGTTCGTATAGATCCGCATCACCCAGCCTGAAAATTCCACCAGAGGAGAGAGCAGCTTTATCATTGTTCTCGTAGTCACGTGTGGATATGAGAAATACTCGTAAATGGAGCTCATCAACAGCCTCAATCCAGCTGGGCATTCTCCCCATGTATCTCTCAACTCCCTTAACTTGAAAGCGTGGTGTAATCGGCATGGTCATCAGAAACCAAAAAGGGTAAGCACAGCCCAAACATGCCTCTCAAGATCAAAGGGTGATTTTTTCCAAGTCGTCTTGCTTTAGCCATGACAATCAACAAGTGCCAAGGGCAAACATTTTAATGAATTGGTTTGTACCTTCCTGAGCCTGTATTTTGTCCATGGACGGTTGCATTTAGCCTTTTCGGGAGTGCGGTACTTGCAAAACGTCAACGTGAAGATAGTGCCTGGACCCCGATAAAGCAGATTCCCAGGCAACGGTGGCACTATGCACTGAATGTCATGTTCCGATATGTTTTGAACTGAAATTACTGTACACATTTTGAAAAGTAATTTCTAAGGCTTATGAAAATTTTTTGGTGTTCTTTAATGAAAGTCAAGAGGCAAAAGTTATATAGCTACTATTCTACGGTGGAATTCAAGACATTTTCCTTTAGACCATACACCTTAATGATATCAGGTATTGGCGGTAAAAGCTGGAAATTGCTACATGTAATTTCGCGCAATTTGTGCGGGGCTCCGCTAGTTGCTACACATAGCGAAGAATAATGGAAGGTTTGAAAAAACAAAAAATCATTTCTCACTTGGATATTTCTCCTTCACATTTTGCAAGAGCTCGGTGACATATTCTTCGTATATGTACGACGCCCTTCCGCCATCCGACAGCGAGCCGAAAAGGCTGTACGACACCACGCGCTGACCACGACCACGCGAAGTCGCTCTGGTGCTGCAGATCGATAGGGCTTGGTCCTGGTTCGCCAATAAGTACTTTTCTCCGTCGCAGTCGCAAGGAAGTTCCATCACGTTTAGGGACCCCAAGGCTTCGGTCACAGTTTCTTCTTTTTCGAGCGGGAGGTGCTCATTTGGTGAAATGATGAAGAGCGAGATTAAGAGAAAACTTAACAGTAGCAATGCGTTAATGGCGACAGCACGTCCCTTCAACATCGTGTTTTCTTCTTCCAATTAATGGATGGATTTCGAAAGCTTGAAATGCTACAATTTCAGGTTGACATATCTCTTTGTTTTAGCTAGAAATGAATGAAAATGATATATCATAACTATAATTCAGCAAAAAAACCATATGTGCAATGTCCACCAGCTGTTGCGCTTGCAGTCACTTTTACGCTCATGCGTGTGATGGTATGGCATGGGGTCATGACGTTTCGGCCGTGGGTGGAAGGACATCACCGTAGTCATGGGCGCCGATCTTATGATTATTTCATGTTATTTTACTAAATAACACTATACATAAATATTTTGAGATTTTGGAACCTAAATGTATACTTATATATTTTGAGGTATCTAAACCCCAACCAAAAGCCGAATATTCTTTGAATAACGCCTAGATAAATTTGACTAATTGGGTGCAAGGGTTCGAAGAAATAAAAAGATCCAATTTCTGACACTTCACATTTTTCCTGTCTTAAAAATGCTAATGACATCATCCTCGGGAATGAATGTTTCTCCAGATGAACTACTTGATGAGCCCAAAGAAGATGTCTGTCGGCACAGGTCTCATCCCAATCGCCACGATCTCAAGGATTTAACTTTTCAGACATTAGAGCATGAAGGGCCATGCACACTGACGAAGAGTTACGTTGCGACCAATGCGGCCGTCGCAGTTCTTTGCAATCTGTCGCGTTGCAGATGCATGGGACCTTCGCAAGCGGTGGCGGTGTATTTCGCTACGGAATCGGACGGGTCAATTCCTGTCGCATCTTCGCAGTGGTTCGTGCTGTGTATCTATTGACTACTAAAAATGACATCCTTGGATACATAATATAAATAGTTTGGCTTCTCTTTGGCATAATGATTTCGACAGTATATGATGCCAATCATCACCATTGATTCTCCACGAGTGAGATTTATAGTAGATAAATATCCAAGGTGTCGATATCAACTATATCCCTGATTATTTTTCATTGTTTCAATTCATGAATTTTAATTTTAATTTTTAAGTTCAGAAGTACTTATTCTTCGAGTGCGAAACCTTTAGTCGTCCCCTCCTTCAGGAGAGTGATGTATGTTTTGTACGTATTTGATATGTTCAGAATAATTGTATGCAGCATTTACCGAAAATTCAGGAGATCAAGAAGGGTCTTGAACAGCTCGAGAGACATTCTCATGGACATAGGAGAAAGACACTCTTTGTCTTCGATGATATTTTCCACTACAGTCATAGAAAAAAATGAGCAATATCCGAGAAAGGGAGCGAACCTGGAGTTTGTGGCTTTATTCCATAAAAACGAGGAAGTTCAATCGATAACTACTCCTTTATAAGAGTAGTTATCGATTGTATCCATACATTTTTTAAGAGCGCGAAACAAAGGAGGGAGAGCACTTTTCAAACTACTAGAAAAAGTTAGTGGTTGTTCTCAGGAAAGAGAGAGGTGAGCGACATTACATCCTTGTAGTTAGGGAGTAAAACCGCTAACTCCAGTTTCGCTCCCTTTTTGGGAAATCGCTATCTTTTCTAAGAGTGCAGGGTCTCGAATTCTCCCGTCTGATAACGGGATTGTGTACAGGACGTACCTACCTACCGTACCGAAAAAGCAAGTGTTGCCGCACGAGCTCTCAAATTGCACAAAGCCATATTCTATTTCGCCTGGGAGCTCTGCGACCAGTGTGGATGATGCCTCGCAGACGGTCGCAGTCAAGAAATGACTGCGAACTTCAATGCGGCTTGATCGCAGCTCTTCGCAATCAGTGTGCATCGGCCTTTATCGACTATCTTCTCCCCCATAAAGAAACGGATCTACTGCAGGGGCCCTCATCACTTCGAACCTCACGAACGCTTCGTGAGATTTCAGCAGCAGAGGATCTCGGAGTCTTTGAACAACTATAGGAAACTCAACAAAGTTTCTTAACCTATTATTTTCTAGATGAATGAATTACATGTAGCAATGAGGAAGACTTCCTTGCGGAATACTGACGGACGAATATCACTCTTTTGGAAAATGATCAGGTTCGAAACCAAAAAAATAGAGGTGCCTCAAATTCTTCTTCAGCTTAAGTTCTCCAAAGGCTGCGAGATTTTCCAAATATCTCTCTTTCATCAGGACGAAGCGAAGAACAATGTTTAGTCCAAAAACGAAACGTTGAACGCTATATCGTGAATAAAAGTGAACACCTTCACTAGGATTGATGCAATATCTCTTCTTGTTCTGGAAACCTCATGCACCGAGTGTGCAAGGATAAAACTGATTCTCGGAACTGCAGAGCTAACACTTTTCATCCACTGGTAAACAAGGTTCTTGCAAGTATCCTATAAAATTTAACCTGGCAGAATGGGCAATGCGGGTGAGCTCAAAGAAAAAACGAACGAGCTTCTGTCGGTTTTATTGCACTATATCATATTTACACTTGAAACACATGTTGCATGGAATGTGAAGCGATAAGAAAAGGTCGTTAAAATGCTTATTTGTTGATTTTGTAAGGACTCATGATAAGGAATATTGAGGGCTGCTACGCAGTAAATTAAATGAGCTTTGGCTGAACAAACAGGTACAGTGGTACCTCGCATAACGAACGCAATTCGTTCCAGCGGTGCGTTCGTTATGCGAGGTGTTCGCGAGTGAAAGTGAAACATTTTTTCCTAATTTCCTTGATTTTTCGCGGCGACGTGGAACAGATTACATGATTTCCCATAGAAGTCTATGGGAAATCGTGTTCCGCATAAGGAACACCTCGCATAACGAACGCACCGCTGGAACGAATTGCGTTCGTTATGCGAGGTACCACTGTAATTTGAATGCTGCGTGATGTCTTTGATGAGGTGAGAGCTTTAGTTGAGGCTGGTGGCAGTGACAATCTGGTTATCTACAAGCATATTATATGCTAATATTTTCCTCTTGAAAAAGGAAATTCTCCTAAGCGTCTTGTGCTGATGCACGCCCATGTCTTCATGTTTAAAAATACATTAATCGATGCCTCCAAATACTGTTTGTTTGGAAACGCACACCTGGATGAACCACAAGATGGATAGGAGATGGATTTCGAATCAGGTGTATGTCACACGATGGGAATCCAGTCTTCCAGGATATCTGAGATATAATTCTTTCTCGCTTGGATTAATGATGGAATGCAGTGTCCCGTGGATATTGCGCTTCAATGCACCACTTTCTAACTCCCTTGGAAACTCATCTGCTTGTAGATCGGTGTTGGACGAGAGATTTTTTACCCCGCAAATATGACTCCCGTAGCAAAATCTGCGTAGGCAGGACTCACTAAGAACAAAAGGACTTGATTTCATGAAAATATTGCTACATAGCACTATGACAACTCAGGGGATAATAGATGATGAGGGTGGCCTGTGAAGAACATCATTTCAAACTCGGTGAAAGTGGAGAGAAAAATATTTACCCAAGGATATATTGTCAGTTTAAACATTCCAATGAAAAATACTATTAACACACCACACCAGTTCATATAAACCTCAGGACTTTTTAGCATCATATTCCGACCCCGCATTTGCGGTATATCATGAAAACATCCGATCTCGATGATCTTTCAGCCTGAACTCGAGAGTGCATGTGAAACTTAGTGCCAAACTCTGTGCAGGGTCGAATCTTCGGGCCCAGCCAACGAAATACCCGCCCTCGCGGCGCTTCAGGAACGGCCGGTATTCCCGGGCCTTGGATTTCCGGGCTTCGTGCAGTGATAGCTATCTTGCACAAGCTAGAATATAAAAGAACGCATTCTGCGATGAGATACGAGATACTTTGGGAAGATACTTTTAAATCGGCGAAAAATCCACTTATCAATCATTCATAGGATCCAACACAAAGTTGAAAACTACGAGAATGAGGGTGTAATGCGCGAGAACAACCCAATTATTGAAATAGGAATGGGAATGAACATTTAAGTGAATGAAAACATTGGTGGCGAAGTTGCGTAAATGGAAAGAGAGATAAGGAAATTAAACTTAATGTTACGGTTCTATTATCAGGAAGAAACATAATTTCCTTTATAAATTTCTTTTTCTTGCTTTCTGACATACAGGGTTGGCCACAAAAAGAACTGATTTTAAACATTCATAAATTGTTTATTACTACGAATCGAAACATAGAGGCAGCTTCTCATTGTTAAGAAATTCATCGAGGCAAAAACTTGATGAATACATGCATCTGAAGACCTGAAGGCAAACGAATTTCTCGTCTGGAAATCCGTTTAAGCTCAGTTTCTTTTCATGCGCTTCTGAACTTAGTGTGCAATTTCACCCTGATTTGACTTATCAGGAATGTAAAGTTGATGTACAGAGTGGTTATAAAGACCTGCAATCACTTTCGAGGTAAGTAACTCCAGAAAAGTACATGACATCTGCATGATATCAACAGGGTATTATCTACAGTACTGAACAAATTATTAGAAATCTCTAAGCGAAACCTCCGATTTTTGAAAAACCCTCACTGTGGGGTATCCGGGCGGGTGATATGGATGAAACTTCAGCCTAGTATCCAATAAATATTCAGTTTCGTTCTTGTTTCTTTGTTGTTGGACAAAAGTTTGTAATGTATCAGAAATTTTGAATTTACCAACCCCCTGATGGGTAATATACAGTACTGAACAAATTATTAGAAATCTCTAAGCGAAACCTCCGATTTTTGAAAAACCCTCACTGTGGGGTATCCGGGCGGGTGATATGGATGAAACTTCAGCCTAGTATCCAATAAATATTCAGTTTCGTTCTTGTTTCTTTGTTGTTGGACAAAAGTTTGTAATGTATCAGAAATTTTGAATTTACCAACCCCCTGATGGGT